TGGAAAGGCTAAAAGGTTCATCTTCTTTTCTTTCAAAAGCCAAGACTGCTTTGTTATCCTGAGGTGCTTCATGCCTCTTTCCTGTCTGTTTTGTGTTTATTTCCAAAGAGAAAAATTGGACTTCTGGATTCACAGTTTAGAATCTATAAAGATGAATGTGGTGATATTTCTTTCTCTCACAAATCCTTATTCCTCTGTCACCCTCCTTGGTTCTCAGTGCTTCAGTCTTCGACATCCATTGCCTTCAGGCTGGCTTTGAAAAGTAGCTCAGCAAGAGGAACAGAATCCTGAGGTAGAGTAGAATGGGAACAATCATCAAGATTTCCTCTCTGGTAAACTAAAGTTTTGTTTTTGTTTTTGTTTTTTGTTTTTTTTTTTCTTTTCTCTAAAGAATAAGGAGCAGGTCCAGGGAACCATAACAGGTTCAGATTGAGCTTCAGAAGTGTAGTCACCCAAGGCAGAATTCATGAGGATACCATCTGCCCCCACAGCTGCTTTGTTCCGGCTTGCCTCTCTGGTCTGTGGCACAACGAAGCTCGGCGTGGGAACAGCACCCAGCAGTCTTCCTGCCACTGTGGAAGCTAATAGCATATGAAATACAGTATGCCCTTGCACATATCTGTGAATCCTGCCAGTTTCTCACTGTTGTGAGGATTAGGCAGACCCCAAGAACATGGAGGTGGTCGCCTCTTCACTGTTGCCAGTATGAATTCCATGTGGACTCCACACTCCTTCATCTGTATGCCCAGTTCTTGAGCCCTCATCTTCTTGGGTTAATGTTTCTTAGTATGCTCCAGGGAGTTACCCTATCCATTCTTTCTACTGAAAGAGGTTTAGACTGAGGATTCACTGTCCTAGGCTTAGTCAATAGGACACACTCTTGACTGAGGACTCAGATTTTGCAGCAAGATTATGGTTCATTTGTGCAGAGATAGATGAATCCATGAAGATCTAGTTGTCTAAACAATTAATGGTTGTCTTGATTTTCTCTTTCGCTTCTAGAAAGTCAAAATAGCAGCCTGTCTTTTCATCCTTGCTTTCCTCCCATCGGAAGGCGGCCGATACAGGACTTTCCTGTATTCACTAATTATATTCATTCTAGAAAAGCTTCTAAACCTGGTCTCTAAAGTAGCTGTACATTGTAACATTTGCCAGTAAACTTATATCCTCTATTTTAAAAAATGAAAAACTTGAAGCTGGAGAGATAGTTTAACAGTTAAGAGCACTTACTGCTCAATCATGAGGATCAGAGTTCGAGTTCCAGCACCCACATTGGGTGGTTCAGATGCTTATGAACTTCAGATCCAAGAGGCCAACACCTTCCTGAGCATACCTGAACACACACAAATAAAAATAAATACTAAAAATAGAAAAACCTCAGAGTGGAGATTTGTAGGATTTGAGAGAGATTTACTCTGCTTCTGTTAGTCACCCATTCAGAATGGATGGATTAAGTTTCCTTTTCTGATGTCTTTATAGCATTAAAATTATTGAAAAGGAATTACTTATTACTTTTTTTAGTATTAGAAACCCTGGCTGATACTTAAAGGACATCACTCTAGTTTCTAAGTATAAGTTCAGGGAGTACCACGGGAAGACTTACAGGTTATAAACAGTTTTTTGGCTACTTTTTCTTTTTTCTTCAAAGGTGATCATAATATAGACTTACTGTAGTTAAAATATAGATGTGGGAGGCTGTGGGTATGGCTCGGTTCCTAAAGTGCTTGCCTAGCATGCATGAGGCCCTGAGTTCAGTCCTCATTGCCACTGCAGAAAACTAGGTGTGGTGGCACATGCCTGTAATGCTAGTGCTTAAGAGGTAGAGGCAGGAGGATGAGGATAAGGACTCAAGGCTACCCTTAGCTGCACAGAGTTTGAAGCCATCCTGGGCTACATGAGAACAACAAAAACAATTTTAGCTCCTCTCCCCCCCCAAAAAAAACAAACTCGTATGAATTAGAAAGATGAAAATTTGTCAGTTTTCTTGAAAACACAAAAAGCTCTTTTATTGGCCACTTTGGTTTTTCCTAATATTTTAGCAAATTGCCTTTCACTTGAGTAAAACATTATTGCTCGAATATCTGGAGACTTTTTGATGACAAGGAAAATACTGTAGAACTAGGGAAAAGCTCATTCCATAAACAAATGTTATTGGCAGTATAATTGATGTTGGGATAAATAATGTTATTATTATTTGCCCTATGATTATTACGGCAGTATTATCTAACCTGCTATCACAATTAATAAGACACAGACACCTGTTAGTATTTATAATTGCCTTGTTTACCTTGGGCTGAGCAGATATTTCAGCTAAGCTATCTCAATAACCTCGCCATCCATCTCTCCCATCTGATGCCATTTGCCTTAACCATTCCTGTCTAGGCTACCTTCCATCCATAATCTTATAAATACTTGCTTGAATGGCCTTTCTACGCCATTATTGGAGTCCTTCTTCATGGTTCCTTCTCCACAATAACCCATCATGTCATCCTTCTTCCTCCTCTCTTCCCATCTGTCTGTTTCCCGTGATTCTCCTGAACCCAAAGCCCAGGAACCTTAGCCACACTACCTCATTCTGCCATGCCAAAGTTTTAGGTCTTCTAATCAACCAATCAGGAATGTTTTAGGCAGGTGTATACAACAAAGTAGGGCAGTAACCAGATCTTGAGGGCCAGTAATTAGCATCAAGAGACAAGCATCAGACCAACCCCCAACAAGCAAGATTTTGATCCCCAGAATCCATATGAGCCAGTGATAGCCAGGCATAGTAGTGGATGCTTACAATCTCAGTGCTGAGGAGGCAGAAGCAGGAGGATCTTTGGGGCTCAGTGGCCAGGCAGCCTAGCCTAACACACAAGCTTTAGGACCCATTGAGAAGCCACTGTGTCAAAACCATGGTGGACAGCTCCTGAGGAATGATACCCAAGGGTAACCTCTGTCCTCCTCACACATATGTACATATATGTGCTCTCCCTATACTCAGGAACATGCACACCAAAACTGACTTTATAGCTAGCTCATGAAGGGAAATTATTTTTCTATAATTTTTGTGAAAGCATAATTGTGTGAGAGTTTCTGCTTCTTCTGGTTAACTGTCAATAACATCAGCATGATCTAGTCTTTGGCACATGAAGATGATTTTGAGCCAAGAGATTCACAAAGTAATGGAATGTCTATGCCAATGGAAAGAGCCTTCAGGAATTAGGATCCCTAAAACTTTCTTGGAGGTTGCTGTGGTATAGAAAAATGTGTGGTGACACTCTAACTCCTGTTTAACCAGAGCTTCCAGTTTCCAGCTACTTGCTTCTTTTCAAATTCAGATACCCATTTGAGACCTTATCAGGGAAGACAGTGCTATTTGATTCTTTGTGAGCATTCTTTTCCTGGCCACTGGAGTGTTTTCTCTTTTCCATTCCAGAGCAAACGTGATCTTTGGAAAATTAGTATCTAATTTCCTGGGCCTTCAGATTACTTAGTTAACTAAGAAAAATTCATGAATGGATATTCACATTCTCCCTTCAGTTTTCTGCTTTCTGTTGAGAATAGTATTGACCCCGTGAGGAAAGGTTAGGCCATCAGAGGGTGAAGTGTGAGGAACCATGGGCCACTGATATTCAGGGTGCAGGTGCAGGTAAACAGTATTGGAGGTACTGCCTGAGCTGCAGCACAGTCCACTTGGCTTTAGCAAACGGTGCTCCCGGATGTTGGTGCTCAGTAACTCTGACCACTGGATGATTGGGATGGCTTTCTGCTGCTTGGTCTTCCATACCACCTACTCTTGAACTAGTTAGTGCTAGTTTATGTTCTCACTTGAAACTTACTGCTGTGTTATGGTCATTCTCCCTATTTTTTTTTTTTTTTGAGTGGCAGTCTAGTAAAAAAAAGGAATTTTGAACTGTAAAGATAGCTTTTCTGACACAGTGACAGTTGTTCTTACCGTCTTTGCAATTTTATTATGCCAGAATGAGTTGGCTTTACATCTCTGTGTAGAACTCAGGGGGTCCTAACATATCACTGAGAGCTGTAGACCCTCTGCCTGTCCCCACCAGAAGGATGCAGTGTTTGCAGCATTGGCTCTGGTCATTGTCTGTTTTCCCTGTTTTCTTCTTTTTAAATGCCATATGTAGGTTTTGAAGGAAAATAGGTGTTTAGGTAACTTCCGAGGGGTATGCCTGTCTTTGGATTTAGGCTGTGGCCTGAAAGGAATGGCCATAGGCGGAGATGGTGCTTTCAAGTAAACAGTTATCTTCAGGCAGTTGGCAGCACAGGTAAGTGACACATGTCTCTCGGGGGTACCCTGAGTGACAGTGGGCATAATTTTTAAATATCAGACCCTTTGGGATGGGCCAATTCCCAAAAACCTCTTTATAAGCATTTTGTAAATATACCAAAATCAAGGCAAGAAACATGGCAAGGCTTCAGACTGGACCATTAGCTTAGACTCTAACAAGATGCAGGGTACGTGTTTCTACAGCTTGGAAACAGCTTCCTAGTTATTCATTGCTGTGAAGGTTTCTCAGTTGGGATAGAACCTACTGTTCATTATCATTTTTATCAATGCTGAATTTACATCTGTAAACACATTGTTGCTGGGTAAAATGAGGACTCGATTCTGCAGCTCCAAGGAAGCAGTGAGGCAACAGAAGCTGCGTTCAGTCTCAGGCTCTATAAGCAGACATTTCTCCATAATGTCAGTCCGCCAGGCCTGCCCAGGCCCAGGCCAGGAGACCAAGTTTGTTTGACAGTAAGACAGATTACCGATACAGTGTTCCTTTTATACTGTTGCTTTAGTTATAACTGCATTACCCCCTGTGTTTATTTTTATTATTTTATATTTTATTTTAAAATAGCCGGTGAGCAAGTGGCTCTTGTTCTGGAGTTGTGAGGCTGATGTGGATGTTCTTCACCTGGGCTTCCTCTTTCATAGTTAGACTGCATGAGCCCCTTCCTGCATGAGTAGCTCCAAATAGTGACACATAGACATGTTTGTTTTCTTGCAGTTGAACTGGCAATGATAATGGACCGTTTGTATGGTGGTGTATGCTATGCTGGCATTGATACAGACCCAGAGCTGAAGTACCCCAAAGGTGCTGGGCGTGTTGCATTCTCCAATCAGCAGAGTTACATTGCAGCCATCAGTGCACGTTTTGTGCAGCTTCAACACAACGACATTGACAAACGGGTAAGCAACCACTCAAGATGGAATAGCTATGGGGAGGAAATGAAGTTTGTTCGGTGCCATCCTGGGCAGGACGGTATTTGTGATCATAAGAGAGCAGCTGTACCTCGCATGGCATTAGGCTGTGAGTCCATGGAGGTTGCCTGAAGAAGAGAAGATCCTTAGTGTTTAAGGTATGGATGAACCTCCTCTCCTGCCTTGCTTCTTTTTCTTCCCAGGTGATGAAAATAAATCTGCAGAATTTGGTATACCAAAGCAGTAACAATGCCTTAACAAAGATTGAGGTCCAGTCACCTGTTGGACCCAGGCAGTGCCCTTGCAATAAACCTGAATTGACATGTATACATAGAAATATACACAAAAATTTGAATCTACATGTTTTTTTAATTATAACATCACACTCAATGGCACTCATGGGAACCAAATACTGTTCCCTTTAGTCTCCTCTCCAGCTTCACATAATTTTACTACTCAGGAAACACGTCTATATATACACACATGCATGTCATATTACTGGCCCTTTTGCTCTTTATGTCACCTGCTTCTGCTCAGGGCATTGAGTGAACTTCCTTTGATCTAAAGAGAGGACATGGGGGGAGGTTGAGGGAGTTGGTGTGCTCTGTAGGCTTTGAGGACAGCGCTCCACTGTTGGGAAGGGTAAGAGAATGGAAGGAGTAAATCTGGGACCTAGATTAAAACACACCAAGGAGAACACCACATCTTGACTTTTCGCCGTGCAATTGTACAGTGGTTATTCTTGCTTCAAGATAGAGGAAAGCCTTGAGGCACTGACTGGATGGGAATGAAGGAAGTGGTCTCTGCTTATGGAGCTTTACACACCTTCTGCAGTCTTCTTTGCTTGACTTTCTGTAAGCAGACAATGTTCTTAGCATCTTAGTGGAAATTTTCGTTGATGACGCACTTTTCATATTCAGCAGGATTATGTTTCGTTAACACGTTCTCTGATCAAATTACAAAAGCCAGTACTTAGAATTAAATATTCTGTGGCTTGTTGAGAATATGTGGTAGTAGTTTTTTACGTTTTCATTTTTACCAAAGAACTTGTAATTTTGAATAATTTCTGAGATTTTTAAGTAGTTTATGCTCCATGATTCTGTTCATCTTCAGGATAATCGATATTAGCTGTTAAGAGTTTTAAGCAGCTGGGCATGGTGTCACATGCTTTGAATCCCAGCACTCAGGAGGAAGAGGCAAACGAATTGCTGTGAGTTCAAGGCTAGCCTAGTCTACAAAGTGAGTCTAGGACAGCCAAGGCTATACAGAGAATCCTTGTCTCAAGAAACCAAAAAGAAAAGAAAAAGAGTTTTTAAGCTGTACCAGTGCCTTTTAAAAAGACTTTTAAGAGAAAACAGCTGAATAAAATCGTTTTATATGAATTTTTATTTTAAATGTTACAGCTATAATGTTACTTAATACATTTTAACCTACATGCATTATATTGTATTTTCATCAAAGCCTCCTTCCACTCCTGTCCCTCCAATTTCTCCCCTGCTCCCTTCCAGACTTTTTCCTCCCAACTCCATGTGCTGTTTTTAAACCCAATGAGTTCACTTAGTGCTGCCTATATGTGCGTGGCTGTAGAGCACGGATCGCCTTCCAGAGACCAAATCCCTGAAGAACACTGACTCTCCCTCCCCAGCAGCCGGCAGTTGCCAATAGTTCCTCTGCCAGGGGTGGGTCTTCATGGGCTCCTCCCCTTCCATGTTGGGGTTTTGGCTGGCCTGATCTCCTGTGGCTCTTGTGCATGTACTCACAGCTGCTATGAGTTTGTGTGGGATGGCCCTGTCACGCCCATTAAAAACTGTGTCACTGCAGATGTCCACTACCTCTGGCACTATCTTTCTGCCCCTCCTCTGTGATCCCTGAGCTTTGGGGGCTTGGGGTACGATGCAAATGTCCCATTTAGAGCTGAGCACTACCCAGTCTCTTATTCTCTGCATGTTGACCAGTCATGGCTCTCTGTATATATACTGCAAAAGAAGCTTCTCTGATGAGGACTGACAGATGCACTTTTCAGTGGGTATAAAGATAAGAATTTAAGGGCAAGTTACTGCTGTGTCTTCTTAGCAGAATAGTCATATCATGTTCACCCTTAGTGCCTGTGACCTAGTCAGCCATGGGTTTTTGAAACAGTTAATGGTAGCAGTTATGAGTCCCATTTCATGGAACTCAACCAGAAAGTACCTGTTCACTCTCACAACAGTCATGCCACTATGGCACCAGCAGGCATATCTTACCAGCCAGTTGTTACTGTTGCCTGCAGAGTTCACAGCCGGGTAAAACTGCTGAGTACTTTTCTCGTCCTGTAGTGTGCACAGATCCTTCCAAAATTCTGAGAACCAGCAAGTAGGGATGAGGCTTCCAGAGGAGTACCAGCTTGATTTCTCCAGGCCCTATGAGACAAGTATGCGGTATCTGTTGCAACAGTGTCATAGGGGGTGAAAATTTCAGTTGGTGATAGATTTTTTATATTCAGCAAGATGGTGTCTTCTTAGCACATATATCTGACCAAATTAAAGTAAATATTCTATGGATTCCTTGAGAATAAGTGGTAGTGGCTTGTTTGTTAATTAAAATTTTTTTTTCAGAAGAAAAAATTTCAGTTTTTCTTGAACACTCTTGAGTTAATAGAAACTCAGAAAAATGACAAATATTCAACTTCCCTGGTTTTTCATGTACCCAAGCTTCCTCTTTTCAAACAGTAGTCTCACAGAAGACTAAGCTCCACAGAGAGAGGCTCAGTGTCTCTCAGACTCATCCCCAGTGTGTACCTATTACCTGGTTCAGTCCGAGGTGTTCAGTAAACAAGCGCTTTTTGAAAGGTTCTCTTCACTGCTGCTGCTGCTGCTTGGGGACCTGCCTGCTTATTTTGTTCATTTGGATGTCTGATACATTTACACTCAGACTGTAATGCTAGCCATCACTGGTAAACCTAGGCAACAAACTTTACCCAGAGAACATTAGATTCTCATCAGTATGAAAGTAGCTTTTTTTTGTTCCCCTCTGAGGATGATAAATGAGAAGACAAGAGGGTGTTTATTTTCTAATAGTCATCCAAGTGGAAGCCTTGGCGATCACTGAGAGTCCTTGTATGGCGCTTCCTTCTCTTGGAGCCCCACTCATCCTCATCGTTATTTGCCTTGACCATTTCCTTCACTGGGTGGAGTGGAAGCCTACTTCTATCCGGAGTTGGGCTTTTCTTCCCACTGCTGACCTATAAACATTACAATCCCTCCCTCTTCACTATGGCCCTTCTTGACCTTGCATTGAGCATAGCCACATAATGCTTGTTTCTGGCATTTCGAGTCTGTTAGCTGCATCCTTCATAGATGTGTTTTAGGCTCATTCATACTTTTATTTCTACTCATCTTTCCACTAAAATTTAAATTTGAGCTTTCTAGAGAGCTTTTACCATAAAAAAAGCACATTTGTATTTCCCTAAACAGTACCTTACAGAGACTGTTGTAGGCACATCTTTCCTGAATAGCTCTTACAGGGTTCTAGCAATAATCTATCCTAGTAAAGCTTCTGAAACTTGGACTAAAAGTCATGGGCCACTAGTACCCAGAATCCATTTGTGTTGCTATTGCATATTTTAAGATGCTGCTCTTCCCTTTCTTCTTCTATGAGTCTGGAGTTGCCTTTAAGCCCTGACTGTTTTAAATAGCATCAGCCTTCATCAGCTCCTTTGCTGTCTGCAAAGGTATAAATGTAGATTTAGTAGAACTGTAGCACATTAAAACCACTTGCTTTCTGTGGCAGCCCTTATCCCTTGCAGCACTTACTTCGTGAAAAGACTGATGGAGGCTAGCTGCAAAGCAGCTGTGCTTGGCCATCAGGTCCCATTCCCACAGTTCACCAAGTCTGGAACCTTGCAAGTCTGTGGGCCACGTATGCTCTCATCAGTGCAGATGCATAAGAAGAAATTGACACAGTCTGTCCACTGAAATTTTCAGCAAAGACATTGCTTGATAATCTGTTTACTGTTATTGTTGGCTAAGATTAAAAATTTAGATGGACACAAAGCCAAACTTTGGGCAGAGTGCAGGGAATCTTATGGAAGAAGGAAGAAATAGAAAGACCTGGAGGGTACAGGAATTCCACAAGGAAATCAACAGAGCCAAAATATCTGGGCCCAGGGGGCCCAGCAGAGACTGATGAATCAACCAAGGACCATGCATGGAGAGGACCTAGACCCCCTGCTCAGATGTAGCCCATGGGCAGATCAGTCTCCATGGGGGTTCCCTTGTAAGGAGAGCAGGGGCAGTCTCTGGCATGAACTCGATTACCTGCTCTTTGATCATGTTCCTCTGGTGAGATAGCCTTAGTAGGCCACAGAGAAAGAGGATCCAGACAGTCCTGATGAGACCTGATAGGTTAGGGTCAGATAGTAGGGGAGGAGGACCTCCCCTATCAGTGGACTAGGGGAGGCACATAGTGGGAGAAGAGGGAGGGAGTATGGGACTGGGAGGAGGAGATGAGGAGAGGGGACTACAACCAGGACGACATCATCATCATCATAATAGTAGAAGAAGAAGAAGAAGAAGAAGAAGAAGAAGAAGAAGAAGAAGAAGAAGAAGAAGAAGAAGAAGAAGAAGAAGAAGAAG